TTATATATATATATATATATATATATATATAGAGAGAGAGAGAGAGATACACACACACATATATATATATATATATATATATATATATATATGTTGTTTGAATCGAATTTCATGTCGTCGATTTCATACACTCACAAATGTCATCTTTTGCATTCACGAGGAGAACCGGTAATATGAGTGTCAATCCCAAGTATTTTTTACATTCAAAGTGTGCTCACTTGGCTTGTTTAGTGATGGAATGATGTTCAGAAATGTCATCGATCATTGAAATGAATTAAGTTTGAAATGCGCACATTTTGTCTGTAGTTAGTCGTTTTCATCATATTTGTTCTTTTTCATCACGGAACCTTTTCATAAATAATTTCTACATTTCAGATGGATTTGAGTGGTCCATTTCACAAATAAGTATTATTTTTAAATATTTTGATAAATACAACGAGTGATTAGGAGATAAATAATAAAAAATTATTTATATAAAATATGAAATATTACTCTTTTTAAATATTTTTTTAATAATTTAATGATCAAATCTTGAAATTTAAATATATTAATTGCAATTTGTTCTTTAAATGATCCAACTCACAAGCGCTCACCTTACAAGCCACCTAGGGAAACAAACCTAGGCCAGCTGATGAGACAGCTTAGCATAATTATAATTCAACAATATAAATACTATATTTGAATTAAGCCTCCATAAATTGTTATATAATTTTATAAAATATTTTTTTATATCTTATAAAATCATGTTACATAACTTTCTTCCATCCCAATAATTTGTCAAGTTCAAAATTCGGATGAAACATTGGAATAATGAATAGATTAAAAATCCCAAATTTAATTTATTAATGAAGAACATTTATTAAAACGCTACTTATATATAATATTTAAGTTCATATTAAACATCATTGATTTTATGGATATTAAGTTAATCAACAACAAATTATCTTTTGTGCAAAATTCCTAATAGTTCTCTCCAGGTACGCCTTTCAAAATGAATAATTCTTCACTCTGCAAGTTGACGTTCACTACCAAAGGAAAATCTCCTTTATCAACACTGAATGTTTGAGAGAACTTCTTCCCAAAAGCAAAAACATCTACACTATAAGTGCCATGAAATCCTCTGAATTTAAACTCCCCTTGATCATCAATTTTTCCATGAGCATAGGAAAGCCATTCTTCCTTCAAAGCAAGAAGCCTCTTTCCTGCTTCATTTATATCACCTTCAGCATTAACCAATTGTGCATTCTCTCTACTCATGAACAATTCCCAGAAACCCCAAAGCATAACTCCCTCAATGGCTGGATGAGCATATGCTTCTCTGAGCATCACTTCCAAATCTTCGGCTCGAACATACTCATTTTCTGCTGAAACATCAAGCTCAGTAAACCAGATTGGAAGGCCAAGAACTCCTAGTTTATCTAATGCTTGACTCACTATTGGCCCTACTGGATTATCAATATGTCCTTGTACACCTACACCTGTAATAGTTGCTCCTTGCTCCTGTAAATCAAGAATTTGTTGAATATACTTCTCAGGAAATGCTCGAGCATCAGTTGCATCCTCAATGTGATAATCATTTACAAATAATATAGGAGTGGCATCCAACTGACTGGCACTCTTGAACATATTTGCTCTTATACCTTTTCCTAATTTGTCCTGATAGAAAGAACCATGAAGCATTTCATTGTTAACATCATAGTGTTTGAACTTTCCTTTGTACCTCGACATGAGACCGGTTATGCGATTTTCAACTGCAACTTTCAGGTCATTTGTGCTTAGAGCTTTCACCCATGGCTGCACAGCAGAGTCAACTTCCCAGAAGATGCAGTGGCCTCTAACATCAATTCCATTTTTGTTGCAAAAATCCAAAAGATCATCAGCATCGGTGTAGTTTAAATTTCCCTGTTGTGGCTCTGTCCAGTACCACTTGAGTTCATTACCAAAAACTCCCCAGTTGAAATTATTCAAAAAGAAGTTGACAATGTCCTCATTATCAATGTCCATTCTACTGATACATGACCCAATTGGGAAACTGTTCTTTATCTGTTTAACTGTTATGATTGTTTCCGGGATGTCCTTGGCATCTGCTCTAGAAATTTTCAGAATAATGTCTCGCTTTCTCACCTGTAGAAGAGAGCTCTATTCAGTGCTATAATAAGCAACGTTAACACTTTTTTATATGAATTTTCTTAACTTCATAAAACAAATTGTCCTTTGTAACATAATTAGTAATGACATAACATTGAAGTAATGGTTTTAAACGAGATAGATTAATTTCAGCCTAACAAGGATGACGGAAGTTACCTGGTTAATTTGATTATTTAGATGTTTGAATCTTAATGTCCTGTCAATTGGAAAAATTTGTAAACCTGCAACCATCAAATCAATACCTGGAGAAGGACCTTGAACATACACAATAACTCTAGATTTTAACTTCTCCATTCTGAATGATCCACCGATTTCATACCATCTATCGTCAACAGCTTCCACTTGGCCACCATTCACCCATTCACTATCAACACCAAGAGCAACATTGATATTTTGTGGGCCACTTTTATTTGAACCAATTCTAACCCAGGCTGATACTTGATATGTCACTTGGATCTTCAGGCTATTGGTGATATTCTGAGCTGGCCCCATCCAAGTTTGGGAACGATTAGTGGCAAGAATATAGTTACCATTTAATTGTTCATAGCTTCCTAATGATTCCTTTGCCATTGGTGGTAGAAGAAGAGGTGCTCCATTGGCGATGGCCAAAGTACATGGACCAAGAGGAAACCAACAATTTAAGCTATCGTTGAGATTGCTATTGGTGATTATATTTACTCCATACAAGACACCCTGCAAAAACAAAAGAATTTTAGTCTTTTTTAAATAAATTTGAGATTAGTTGTGTTAGGAGAGGAAAATGAATATTAAAGCTAGCTAGCCAGATATACTATATTACTTTAAGTGTTTTAATGCAAAACTTAGAATTGATGAGTCAACAACGCTATTAGCTAATATATGAAACTCACCAAGTATTTATTTCTTAAATGGGAGCCACTCTTATTTTTTTTTCAAGTAGAAGAAACTATTAAATAAAAGAATTTATTATCATTAAATGTCATGCATGATAAGCCAACTCAACATAAAGAGTTGTCATTGGAGTCATATGTTCTTTAACTTTAGCTAAATTGTAATATAAAGTACCAAAGTTTTTCAAGCCCAAATTCAAAATCAAATGATCAAGATACATTGCTAACCTCATTTTTGGGTCACATTCAGCTTCCGTAGTGATATGGCGCTTCCAGAAAGGTCCAAGTTCCTCTAAACCCTAATAGTAGTGCATTTGCTCCTTTCTGGCCTTGCATGGTCATGCAAGGCCTGGGGTATGACCACACTCAAGTGTGGTCATGCTTACTTAGGGAAGTTGATCCGTGGCCTTTATTGCTCAATCCTACATCATTGATCTGTGGCCTATGTCCACGGATCCTCATCGAAACTGTCCATTTGATCAGACGGTTGAAAGCATTTGGCAACAGTCAGTAGTTGCATAAACCACAAAAGTAATCAGGACAATCAATCTCATGTCTAATCGATAGTCTAGAAAATCAACCACCACCTATAAAAGACGGTTGTTCGTTCCTGTCAAGGGGCTCCATGTGCTCGGTACGCTGTGCTTGCTCGGAGAAAGTGAAGGAATCTAGTGGTGAAGCAATCAAGTTGAGTTCTCTGATCACCTGCCATTTTATAAGTATTTCCACCCCTTCTTTTTCATTTTAAATTAAGTGTTTATTTTAAGCATTTAATTTCAGAATTTCAAAATCTAGTTTAGGTTAACTTAATAGCCTTGGATTAGGTTTGGATTTGGTACTACTTAGATTGACCCGAACCCGACCTAATCTTAATCCTAAAAAGGCTTAACCCAAACCATAAAACCTAACTTAGTTTTGACTTAATCTAAATCTGACAAAGCCTAGCCCCGACTCAGTTTAGGTTTAGCCCAACCTAACCCAAACCCTAAAATCTAACCCAAGTCTGACCTACCCAAGACCTAACCCAACCTAGACCTGTCTTATCTCTAGTCTAGCCCAACCTAATCCAAACCCTAAAACCTGGCACAGGTCTGACCAAACCCGGACCTAATTCAACCTAGACCTGACTCAGCTCACATCTAGCAAACCTAACCCAATCCCTAGAACCTAACTCAGGTATGACTCAACCAAGATCTATCCCTTCACAATCCTAATCAAACTCAGTTCTAGCCTAATCTAACCCTAACCTTAAAACCTAACCCAGGTTTGACCCAAACCAAACCTAACACAACCTAAACCCGACCCAGCTTAGGTCTAGCCCAACCTAACCAAAACCTAAAACTTAACGCAGGTCTAACACAACCCAAACCTAACCTAACCTAAACCTGACCAAGCTCATATCTAGCCCAACCTAAGCTGAATCCTAAAACCTAACCCAAGTTTGACCTAATCCAGACCTGACCAAATCTATACTTACTCAGCTTAGGTCTAGTCCAATCTAACCCAAATGACCTGAAACACTCTGAGACCATCCAAATAACCTAAAACAACTTGAAACCACTCAATTGAATTGAAATAACCTGAAACCAACTTGACATGCCAGAAAATGTGCTACTCTTTTTTATATATTTAATGCTTATTTCTAGTGATATTACACTTTAAAGGAATATATTTTTGTATTTTTTATTCCATGTACAATAGATTAAGCAATTGGAGAAAATGGAGCGAAAATAGAGCAATTTGGAATCAAATGGAGCAATGAAGTAAAATTTGACCTAGCACATAGGGATTAGGTAATTAATCCATGCTTCTAGAAGGTTGGCGCCTAGGAGCCACGGTTGGACGCCTAGGCGCCAGAAGCCGACTTGACATTTTTTTAGCTTTTTAGGCAGATTTTCAAACGGGGTGTGTCTATTGGAGTGAAATGGAAGCAGAGGATGCCAGGGGCAAAGATTTCCAAGGATATAAAGTGCAGGAGAAGGGGAAAAGTGAGAGTTCTCTTTCATTTTCTGCATTTCTGAGTGAAATTATAAGGAGAGTTTAAGAATTCTTTAAAAAATCTTCAAATGATTTTCTTGGGGAGGACTTTGAGATAAGTTCTTTGTATTTTTTTAAGTTTTGTTAAATTTTATTGTGTAAACCTTATTTTAAATATTAACATGTGTTATTCTATTTCCCCATGAAATATGAGTATTATCTTTCTCCTTGTGATGAGAAATAATCATGTGTGAGATTAGAATTTTTAGAAGTGCTTTTATTTCAATATTGTGAAGGTATATTACTTCATCTTAATTTACATATGCAATTTGACCAACTCATATGTTAAAACATATTGTGAATACATAATGACCCAAGAGGGCTATGCTTTTCCTCAATTATTAATTACCACACTAAAGTTTAGGATAAAGAAAAAGTAATCATGGGCTGAGTGCAAATAGATAGGGAGATAAGTTTAGATGGGTGTAAACTAGTGATTCTAGGGTAATAGGCTAGAACCATAATCAATTTGAGCTAAGGTTTGGAACTTAAAGCTAGGTTAGGGCCAAACTCTATCCCCTCTTTAATTCACTACCTATTAAGTGATATCAATGGCATTATTTTTTGTTCATCCATGCAATTTATATCTCTGATGTATTTTTGATGTGTTCTTCTATAGTTTAGTGTAGTTTAAGAATTAATGACTATAACAAAATCTCCATATGGTTGAATGTAATCTTGGCGTATGATACGTATGAGCTTTCATTTAGGGAGGATTTCTAGTCAAAATGGATTGCTTTTATAAGAAGTGAAGATTATAATGACAAGCAAAACATTAAAGTTATCATAAATATTGAATAAGTAAAATATATCTTAAAATAGAAATGCTAATTGGTTGGCACTCACACATAAGCCTAAGTACTTGGATTTAAACCTTTTGACTCCGTGAGCTCATGATGTGCAAAAACTAATTTTGATGATAATAAAAACATATTTGAGGTCAATCTATTTATCCTAAGTGAATTGATAGTTTAGTGAATTACCTGATATAAAAAAGCTTGAGAAGCAAATTTATTATAATTCAACAGTCTTTATAGTTATTAAATTTATAGCTTCAATATAAATGATAATTGCATTTTAAATGAGAAATGTGTATAAATAAAATAAGAAATTATTTTAAAAATTTTGGTTATAAAAATCTTTAAGAAAATACATTTAATATTTTCAATGGTACATAATAATACTTGATCTTTCCAAATAAATATGATGAGTTTATGAGTTTATATTTTTAAATTTTAGTTAGTATACGTAAATCTTTTATTTTTGACATAAATTTTTTATGATAAATTGATATATATGTGCTCTTAAATTTATTTTCTCAAAATTATTTAAGGCTACTTAAAATTTTAATAGTTAATCTAAATATATAATTTAGTTTTTCTCCCAAATTTATTTTGCAATGATTAAATTTTGTGGTAACTTTTATTTTATCAATTTCATGAGATCTTTTAAAATCAATTTGATAGATTACATGACCTACTTTTGGTAAAATTATATTAATTATCATTTTTTCAAATACTTAGTATTTTTTAATGTTGGCTAACTATTGGAGTTTAATTTGGAGAGCTTTGATTAGCCATTGGAGATTTTATACTAGCCTTCTTTGTCACATGGAGAGCAATTAAAGGAGACATTTTTTTGTTTTATTTTGGCCATATTTTGAGATGCTGTAAATATGAGGTATTTTGATAGCTAAGGATGGAATATAAAAAAGAGAAATAAAAGCTTTGTTGGACTTCTTATCTCTCAAATTCTATTTCAATATAAGTTTTTTTCTTGCAATAAATCTTATATTTTATTTCAAAACTCCTTGGAAAATTAAGCTCATATAACACTACATCATTACAATCAGTTTTAAAGTTATAAAAAATTTGTCATTTCTGTAAGCTCATTTTAAAATTTGTAAGCTTAATTTTTTTAATTATATTTTAGTTAGTATTAAATAATTAGTTCTTATAAATTCTTATTTACCTTTTTTATAAAGTCTTAAAATTTTCTTAAAGTACACTGTAATATTTAGTGAAATTCATTGTTAAATTGGGCTTACTCATTAAAAACATATATTATAAGGGTTCTTCTAACTTGAAACGCACTAAATTTGAGATAATGAAACTTAGATGGTGAAAGTCTAAGCAAACTTGCAGACAAGGTAGGAACCTTGTAAAAATTTTGTGTTATCTAAGTTATTTTAAATTATTTTTAATTTTTTAAATTTTTTTATCTTCTTAGCTAGGGATGCCAAAAAAAAAAAAAAGGTCATTCTCAAATACAGCTCATGTTCAGCTCTCTGAATAACTTGTGTTTGACTCGTTCGTAAAGCAAAAGAGTAAAACACAAACAATTTTTGTAAGCTCGATTTATAAACAAGCCGAACTCGATTACACTTTTATTCGATCATGTTTTATTTAATTGTTTAGATCAAATTAATCAAATAATAAATAAATGACATGTAAGGTTAAAACGGAGTATCATTGATATGATATAAAAAATTTGGTTTGTATAAAAATAAACAATATAGTATAGGTGTTTGATATGTTACAAAATAAAAATGAGTTTTGTGCAAGTAAACGCCTATGTGCTCTCTAAATTTAGGTGTTAGACATGTAAATACATAAGAAATGGGTGATGTGAACGTAAATGCCCGAAATAAACCCATATTAATATATAAGAAAGGGGTGATATATAATTTTTAAAAAGCAACATTCTTGACCAGTGATACATCTGGGCCACAAAACACGATTAATTAAGTGGATAAAAGATTCCATTCATGCGCATCGTAACAAATGGATGAAATACTTTAGTTTCGTTTTGAAAGTGATTTGAGAATATTATATCGCAAGATCACGAAGAGACATGATACAAAGGTGGCAGCTTTTCTGCATGTTTAACCACAAAACTTTTCAATCTTACCGTAGTATCAGGAGGAGGAGAAGGTGGCAGCTTCTCTGCACGTTTAACCACAAAACTGTTCAAAAGGACATCAGTTCCCGGCGGTGGGCCTTCAAGATATATTACCGCCCTCGAAATAACACTACTAATCAGAAATTTCCCTTTCAACTGCGCCCAATCTGTGTCTGTCGTCTGCACACTGGATGGACAAAAATCTTTTAGGTTTCACGGATGAGTTTGCAGATTAAGAATGTTGTTTGTACAGTATTTTGCTTTTAATTGATTATTACTTTACTGGTATATATTGCCAGTTTATTCCTATAGTTGTTATTCTCTTATTATTAGTATCTTTTATACTTTAATAGTCATTTTTTATGTTCTCGTTTGCTCATGTTTGTTAGTGAGGTAAGTGGTCCCTCATTTCGTTTTGTTTCTTATTCCAGGCCATGGTAGTGGCGAAACAACTTTCTATTTTGGCTAATTTCTTGGAAATAGTATTTTCGTTTATTCTTTGTTTTCTCTGGTTCTTCCACCTGAAGATTTTGATGCCTTTCGGTTCTTCTACACCATTTAAGCTCGTGATTTTTCGTTGTATAGTTGGCTTAATTTATGACTGGAGAAAGCTAGTGTCTATAAGTTACATGAATATTGGAGCAGTTACTTGGACAAAATCTATAAAATATGTATTTTTTTGCTTTACGCAAACTAATCATGACGATATATTTTGTAGTAGTTAATTGGGTGTTAAACCAATAAACTCCAATATTAAAATGATGGTGTTATAAAATATGTAATTTTATATTATTTCTCTAGATATATGTTTACTGAATAACTTGTCAACGGATGAAAAAATAAAAGACTCGGTCATGATTCTAGATTTACAGATAATAGATTGAATCACTATCCTTTTATAAGCTAAAACTTGGAAAGCAAGGAAATGAAGCAACGAAAAGTTTTTCAGCAGTCATAGAACTAAATTAGAAACCAAAAAAAACAATTACTTACTTAGAAATACCAATGTATTGTTCACGTCCACTCTGTGTTTGCACCCATAACGAAACTCGCACATCAAATGGATTAGAATTGCCAAATAACCTAACAACTGCAGTGACCTCATAAGCTAGCTTTCTCTTCACTCTGCCTGTTATCTCTTGCTGAATCCCATTCCAGTTTTCTGTGCGCTCAGTTGCAGAAGCAAAGAATTTTCCAGTCAGAGGACGCACCTTTCCATCTCCCATGGAGTCGTGCAGAAGAATCTTACATCCTCTTGCAGACCAATTATTCAGGCCTTCATCGAATTCTGGGTTGAGGATTATGTTTTGGTCGTCTTCACCAACTTTTGTTTTGGTATTCTCCTTCAGCAAATAGAAATTATATTCTTTTTTTCAGAAACTATGAAAATATCAATTTTGTTACGTCCGAGTATGTATCTGCCATTCATTCAAGGTTTTCTAGCAAAGTTTCGAAGTTCAAACAGAAAGTACTACTCCTAATCTAAATAGTATTTAAATGGGTGTCATCTCAGCTACTTAAATAAGATATTTCATTCAAAGATTTGGTATTGGGCCCAAAACTAAACATTTTTTTTACTCATATGTAAGATATTTTTAAAAATTTGAATAAAAACTATATTTTGATATACATTATTGTTTATTTTTAAAAATATTTTTCATAAAGAAAACATTAATACTGAAAAAAGAAAATGTTATCATTAAAATAAAAAAAAACATTTAAGAGAGTAATTAAAATAATAATATATGAAATAAAAGATTTGAGAGTTATATATTTATAGAGGCCCTAGATATGTAAGGAATTGGGTGGCATGCAATAAAATTTTATTGCAACTGAAATTAAAGGCCGGCGCTCACAACACGGCCCCTCACACAAAAACAGTAGTAGTTTAATCCAAGAAAATAATAATAATAATAATAATAATAATAATAAAATAAATTAAAATTGAAGCAAAATTGGGCCGACTGAACAAATACCTCGGAATAAGCCATATCCCAGCCGCCCCACTGTAGTTGAATGTCCAACTTCCTTAATAATAATAAAAAAAATGATACATGTTCAAGAGTAATGAAACATAACTAGCAGCAAAAATATTGCTCTCTTCAGGCACGAACTTGATTATATGAGTTATCAGTTACCTCAAACTGATATATATCTAACTTGATCTTGATTCCAATTTCTTTAGCACAAAGCAGACACATTAACTCTTTTATATACACAATAGGTTTGCAGTCTCTATCTCCTTTTGGTGACTTTATAGAGATGTGGGAAAAAAAATGAGGGGCACCAGCTGCCCAAGGCTTAACCAGAATTGCAAGCAAAATAAATAAAAAGGAGGTGTCAGAATGACAGATTTCTTATGTCTTAATTTTCATTAAAACCATATGAATTTATGGCTGACGGTCCAAGAAGAAGCTTTTCTTGCGGTGGTTGATTTCTTAATCTTAAGCTTTGGGACTTAAAAGCTTATACTCAATGGGAGACTTTATATCTTTTGGGAACTAAAATGCTCTTTTTCTCTCTGTTTGTAGTCTAAAACTTGAAGCAACAAAACAATTAATATATTTTATTTTAGTGACACATAACAATGCTAGCAATGGACTGGAGATAAACATAGAATTTCAAGAGATATAAAACAAAGTTATTATTAAAAAAGGCATTTTAATGATACGCGACGTTAAATTGTATATTTTGCATCAATAAGCAGAAAAGTATTTATGTCTCATAAATTGTTTTAAGTTTCTGCTACATTTGTCTGTTCTTTTTGTTGGAAGATAAGAGGTTGTTGTAAGAGGAAGAATGCTAAGAAAAGAAGGTGAACACTTGTAAAACTCACTTTTATTTCACTCTTACACTCTTTGATTTTTTTTCTTGAAACAAAATAACTCAAATACACCACACCTGTTTATAATAGTGACAACCCCACTAGGGTTGTTCCAACACATTTTAATCCAATGGCTATTCTTGACTATGTAGAATATTCTCTTTTTTTGTTACAGAAGTTATTAATTGCATATTCTAGAATTCTCTAAATCACTCTTTTAAACTATATCTCTAGAATCAGCTAAAATATTCTTCATAAAGTAAGTTTCTAGAATTTTCTAGAGACAATTCTAGATTATGGGCTTAATTAAAAGCCCAAATTAAATCAAGTTTACTTTTTTCAATACTATCTCTTAAAATTGATTTGTCATCCCAAGCAATCTTCTTATCCTAATAAAATCTTCATACTTGAACAGCTTAGTGAATATATCAGCTATTTGATCATGAGTATTCACATACTCTACTTTCATATTTTTTCTTGTGATGTAGTCTCTAATGAAGTGATAGTGTGTGTTGATATGTTTTCTTCGATCATGAAAAACAAGATTCTTGGCCAAAACCATAGCTGATTATTATAGACACAAACCTTTGTTGGCTCTTCTTATGGCAATCTTAACTTCTACAACAAATTTGGGAGTCAAATTGCATGGCTGACACATAAAGTTGCAGCAACATGCTCGACTTCACAAGTAGAAAGAGCATTGATTTGTTGCTTCTTTGACATCCAAATAAAAACAGTCTCCCAAGTTGAATGCGAACCCTGTAGTGATTTTTCTCTCATCTAAGTTTCCTGTCCAATAACTATCACTATATCCAATTAGCAAAAAAAAAATAGTTGATGAGGAACAAAATAAGCCAAAGTCGATCATACCTTTGATATAACAAAGTATCCTTAATGATCTTCAAGTGAATAGTAGTTGCTGCCTGATATACTAAAATAATGTGTAATTTTATGTATTCATTTTATGCTTAAATTTGGTGATATTGTACTTTAATACTTTATAAATTTGGTGATATTGTACTTTAAAGAAGGGTATCATCATGTTTTGTTGCAGGTATATAAATTTTAGGCTTTTGGAGCAAAAAGAAGAAAAAAGGAGCAAAAAAGAGAAAATGTGGAGCCAAAATGGAGCTTTTTCAGTATCTTGGTGCCAAAGGTGCCAGAACTGGTGCTAGAGGCGCCATTATACATAGAGTTAGCGCCAGAGGCGTCATTATATAAAGAAGCAGTGCTAGAAGCGCCATAATCCTGAGAACAGCGCTTGACTTTAATACATTAGTGTTAGAGGCGCCAGAAGCACTCTAGACGAATTAAGATGGAGTATAGCGATTACTGACTATTTTTGAGCGGTTCTAGAAGGCTCCAAGAAATTCAAACACCCCATGAAATGATTTAACGCATCTAGACACTTTGGAAAGGCTCTTGAATGAAGAGATGTGTCTCTTGGATGAAGAGACTTATCTCTTAGTGTGAAGAGGTGAGCCTTTTGGGAAAAAAAGAGGGAATTTTAAATTCTTTTTGAAATAAAGGCTGGTCCTAATTAAAAAGAGTAGGAGACTAGATAAGAGGGGGGCGTGCGTGAGGTTTGAGAGACAGAAGTCTTGGGAGAATGGAGGATTTTCTTCTAGAGTTGTAAAAGGAGAGGGAAGGTGATAGATTTCTTCTTTATTACATTTCTAAGAGAGAATTAACTGTGATTCTAAAGAGAGAAAGTACTTAAAGGGAACTTCTAGGGATTTGCTTGAGAAGGAATGTGAGATGAGTTGTGTTCTTTTTTTTCTTTGTTTTGTAAACTTGCTTTTATATATAAAATCTATGTTTTTCGTATTTTTCTCATGAATTATGTATAGTCTTCTTTATCCTTCTCTCTACAATGAGATATTGTTTTATGAAGAATTAATGTTGATATGTAAGGATTTAAATGTCACTAATTGTGATGATTCGAACTCTGTGTTGGCATCAATTTTTGATGTCACGAGTGTAGGGTGTCCACCTACATGACTCGAGATAGTTTACGGTCCGTCCGTAACATCCGATAGTTCAGACACCCACCTGAGACCTTTTTGACACATGTTGAGGGGCACGTAGCTAAGGTTATTCTTCTAGGCTATGGCACTTGCCTAGGTGAAGACTGGTTGGCATTTCAAGCATCGGACAACACCGATTGAGTCGACAAATATTATTCGTTGCGCCGCGCACGAAATAAAATTAAATTGGCTCGGTCGTCAGCGAAGTTGTCCAAATTAGCCCGGGCAACTGAACGGATCACATGAGTGTGTCTGGAACATCGATTTTAGCTACGGAGGATGTCCACTTTGCTACGGCTTCGCGGGCGGGGTAAAAATATGTGAATTATTGTTTTGGACATGATACAAAAAAAGTGGTCCAGATGACACCGGATGACAAAACGGACTGCGCCATAATGTCCGGAATGTCGATTTTAGTTAAGAAGGGCATCTGCTTTGCCTCGAGGATGTATAAGGGCTAAAAATGCGGAGAGGATAATTATATTATTGTTATTATATAATATATTATATTAATCCTATTTAAACTATCGCTCCTCTCCCTCTCTCCTCTATCTATGGTGACCAAGCCCTCCCAGCGCCGCCAACTTCACGAACCCTAGCCTTCTCTTGCGCCTTCTTTGCCAGAGCTCCCTCATCGCGCCTAAGGTACGCTGACTGCCTCCTTCCCTGACGCCGACAACCCCTCCTTCAGCGCAGCTCCCTCGCCGGCCAGCAGAAGCCATCTTTGGCTCTTGTAAACCACGCCTCTACCTGATCCCGTAATTTTTATATGTAAGGATTTATGAAGTTGACACCACTACTTGAATATTTTAATCCCCGGTAATGACACCGAAAACTTGATCCCAAGTAAAGTAAAATTTCAATTATATTTTTAGGGATTCTACGTAAGTATATGTATCTTTATCAAGTAATATAGAGATTTCTGATTAAGCACTGAATATCGATCCCACGGAGATCGAGGTTAATCACGGAGGCTTTCAAGAGGTTCTAGTATAGAATAACACGCCCTAGCTTGGAAGGTAGATAAATTTTTGGTTTTCATTATATCCTAAAATTATCACTACAATTCTACTTCTACTCTAAAACTAAAATACTTAGTGAAAATCAGAAAGTGGGGTTTAATATATTAAAAGTACTCTTCCTCATACAATGAAATTAGTGACATGCGTAAAATTAAAACAAATAGTGAGAGAGATTGTGACAAAAAGGAGCAATTATATTCTTTACTCTTACTAGAGATGCTATAAAAGACATTGGTTAATCTAAATTTTGAATAGTTCTGAAGACGGGCAAGGCAGGGAAGATACTAGCTCTCAATTTAGAGTTCTCTCTTATCCCTCCACTTGGAGGCTAACATCTCACATCAAAACCTAAAAAAATAGAACAAATTAGGGGGCTTTAGCCTTTCACTCTAAAGTCACTCTAAAGCACTCAACCATATGGACTACATTCTCATCCATACAATCTCATGTGATTCTACCACAGTTAATTGAGTCAACAGCATCCCAGATCTTACATGTTCTCACAACAGATTTTAACATGCAAGTTGATCAAGTTTACATGTAAATAAAGAACAAAGTAAAATCATCACAATATATTCTCACTCCACTCAAATCTATATCCTACAAATGCATAATAATTCATTACAAGAAGGAATATTAAAGAAAACAACTCACTACACTTAAAGAAAGAACAAAAACTTTTCATTCAATAAGACTTTGAAACCATACAAATAAAGTACTAGATTAAAATCAAAATACAATGAAAATACTTATCTTTTATGGAAATCAAACTCTCCTTGTATTGCAAAAGCAATCTCCTTACAATCCTCTCCAAGAATAAAGTGAAAAGAAAAGAAGAAATCTCTCACTCTCTCTCTTTCTCCTAACCTTACCACCCCCCTTAGGGCTCACACCCAAGCCTTATTTTTCTTCTCCAAGCCTTCTTCTTCTCTTCTAATTACTTCAAGAGTCCTAGAGTTATTTTAAAAATATTTCCAAGCCTTCCTTTATAATTTCCCAAGAGATGCATAAGTGTCTCTTAAAAAACGTCTAGATTCAATGATTCACAAGTGTCTCTTAAAAAACGTCTAGATTCAATGATTCTTCCAAATGGTGCTTCAAGTGAATCTTCATAACTCCATATAACCACCCCAAATTCTGCTAGAAAGTCCCTTTTCTAATTCCCAAAAAATTCCACAAGAGATGCATGAAGCAACGCTTCAATAATTGTCCAAACTCAATGTATATTATAAAAGATATGTTAAAAACCGTCTTTGGCGCCTTAGCGCCATTTTTGGGCCTTAAGTGCCATCCTCTCTGTCTGGGTGGCGCCCATGTGGTATTTTGGGTGTTTAAGCACCAATCACAGACACTTAAGTTCCCAGTTTCAATCCTCATGGCTCTAGTGTGCCCCGATTCGACATGATTTACTCCGGTTTGCTCTGTTTTGCTCTGTTTTGGTCTATTTTTGTTCTTTTAGCTCCAATCACTCCAAATTCTTCAATTTGATGTACCTACAACCAAAAACACAAGAAAATATACCTTTAAATTGCAATATCAGTATAAAATAAAGTATGAAAAA